TCATATATATATATATATACACACAATTTTATTTAAAATATAAAAATAAAATTTTAACAAATTAATGGATATTAATAATTGAAGGTATATAAAAGTTTGTAAGTATAATTAAAAGTCAAAATGAATATGAAAATTTGATGAAAGTAGATGAAGTTTTGGGTAGGCATGGGAATGGGGCGGGGACCTCAATCCCCGTTCTCGTCCCCGACTACTTATCTTTATTTCCGTCCATGTTCTCATTCACACCGGGAATTATAATCACATCCCCATCCTCATCCTCATCCCCAACGGGAAAATGGGGATTTTTTTTTCGTTTATACAAGTTAATTTGAATTAAATATGTGAAATATCAAACATGTTTAAATCTCAAACATTTTCAATAAACCTAAAATCAAAATGAATTTAATTTAATTTAATACAAAAAAAACCACAACATCATATAAGAAGTAATAACCTAAAAAAATCAATTTAATCCAAAAAAAAACTTGAAGTCATGTACCAAAAGATATTGAGTAATATAAAACCATGTTGAGTAATATATACAAAACTTGTCAAGTAATTGTATTTTGACTTGACATCCAAAATATTACTTATTAACATCCAAATAGTGAAAAATTTAGATTATAAACCTAGTTAGAAAATATGAAATTATGAATTACCGCTTTAATTGAAATAATATATATATATATATATATATATATATATATATATATAAAGGGTACGGGGCGGGGAGTACCATACTCGTCCCCGTCCAAAGAAAATTTATATTCACCTCCAACAACTTCTCCGTTATATTACAACATCAACTATATTATTAAAATATTCAATATCTCTCATGAAAATGTTATTTCTCTCCCCAATTTATTTAATTTCAAAAATTCTTTTTGTAGGACGTTTGTTTCTACAAGGCATTTTTCCAAATTGTATCATATAAAATAACCAATACGATGTTTTTTTTATAAAAATGTTCCAATAGTTTGTTATGACATCCAAAGATGTTACATAAACTTATTACAACACTTCACGTTTTATTGTTTGGTCGTATAAATAAAATCTTACAAAAGAGTGTATTGAGACGCTTAGACATTTTAAATGTCCTATAAACTCAATTTATTATCGTGTATTGTTTAAAAAGTCTCCTCACCCGTTAATTAAACCCGAATTCCTTCACATTGAACTTTAATATTACTTAACCATCATGATCAGAGGCGAAAAATAACATCACCAAAGTCGTCCGCACACGAAAAATTACCCGTATCTCTGATTTTGTATCATATGTGATAAACTACAGTATCATATATGATGAACTACTATATAACATGTGATTAACTATAGTAAAAGAGTGTATTTATTTCAACCATTAGCTATATACATAATCTCCTCCAAACTCAATAAATCATACAAACTTACAAACGAGTTTAATGATGTATTGTTTTACATAAGAAACAATACGTATAAAAGTGCATTTTATATACAATTTTATTATATATACATACATACATATATATATATATATATATATATAATTGGGATCATGTGAGACCAAGGGTTTTTCGTGAGACCCGTAAGACCAATTCTCAACCCTTGGATTAGATTTACAATCTGAACATTCATAATCACAAAATTGTCACGAGACTTTTCAATAATCACAAAATTATCAACCTACAACTTAGACCATTAGATCATTAGCTTATAAAACTGATCAATGAACATAAATTGGTCTTACGAAAAACTCTTGGTCTCACATAAACTCATGTATATGTATATGAAAGGTTCAGAAAACAAATTGAGGAAGATGAGCATTCTTGCATTATAAGTTGCATAACTTTGACTTTGTGTTTTAAATCATCTTTCTTCGTTTGGGGATAACCTTTTCTACCCTTTATGCTTCTTCTACTCATCATACTCACCACTCCATCTTTATTTAAGACTCACCAACAATTTTCATTATATGCATTTTCTCTATCATTTAGCATCATATTAATTATTCTAAACGTGATTACGCTTACAATTTTTTTTTATTAAAGACGTTACAATTAATGTATAATCATTTAAATATTTGGTAATAATGTATTACAGTCTTAATTGCATTTAATAAAAAACCATCAGTCATAATACTAACATGGACAACTGTAATGCATTTGATGTAAAGTATATTTATTATTTCGATCATCATATATGATCTAGGATCAAAGATGGATGATCTAACAATTTTGAAGATATAAGCAATTTCAAGATTATAAGTGTATAAGAAATATATCACTATAAAACAGATGATTTTTACCCACAAAAATCATCTAAAGAAATTTCTGTCAGTGATTACCGACAAATCACCCAAAGAATACCATATGTTTGATAAAATCCGATGTTTTTTGAGAAAAATACCGATGGATCACCCAGAGAATCCATGGGTAATATGTTACTGATTTGAACTACCCACCAACTTTTGTGATGATTTTATGACGAATCACCTTTTAACAACAAAATTCCCAGGAAAAATCGTCACGTGATATACAAGAGGAGGTTTAAGAGAGAGAAAAAAAAGAGATAACCTCTCTCAATTTTTGGATAAACAAATAAATGCTTAATATTCGATTGTAACCGTATCATATAATCGTTGATTTAAGGGTTATTTACTAAATATCTATCGTCTCTTACTAGATTACTAAATGTTTATTATCTTTTATTAAGTAAGAGAAATTTACTTGGTAAGATATTATGATATTTACCAACAATTTTAACCTGTAATTTTTGTTGATCGAGGATATTATTTGATAAGTGAGAATAGGGGTGTAAACAAGTCGAGCTTTTAACAAGCTACTCAAGATCGAGTTGATTTCGAACTAAAGATGATACTTGTTTAATTTAACGAACTGAGTTTCATAACTCCAATGTTCAAAAACTTGATTAAATTTTTTTTGTCGAGCCGAACCATTCGAGCATATACTTTTTCGAGCCAAACATGCTCATATATTTATAAATCATACAATAAAAAAAATTAAAAATTATCAACCTCGAGTTATTTGATTGCGAGTTTGAGCAATAAATGAGCATCAAGCTCGATAACTCAAAAAATATTTGAGCTCGAGCTCGTGATCTATATTAAAAAAGTTATTCAGGCTCAAGCATGGTATTATTTTTTCAAACCGAGCTCGAATAACCTACTACTCGACTTGGATCGGCTCGTTACATCCCTAAATGAGAGTGATGGCTTTTACCCAACTAACAGTTACTAGGTAACAGACCTCTTATACTATGCTATTTTGATGATCAAGAAGGTAAATGAAGGTGGTGAATGTTTACCTCATCAACGCTTACCTACTCTCTCTTAAACAGCCTATTAGGTTTGGTTAAATGTAACCGCCTTAATTATTCACAATACTTGAATTAAAATAGATGGATGATTCAAATGGATTCATTTTTTTCTCATTTTTAGTGTTCTTTTTTGAATTCACACCTAACACACGATCATACATAATTAAATAAGATTGAGCCTAATTAAGGAGTCGTTTACCAACAGTTATTGGCCACGTGTTTACTAGGTAATTAATAGGTCAATATCCTTATTTAAATTCAGGGTTGGTCCTGAGGCTTCTCATGCCCGGGGCGAAAAGGTAAAATAATGTCCCCACTATTTAAAAACTACAAATGAGACATACTATTTTTAAAGGGTTTGGAATCTAATCAAGCTAGACATTTCATACCTAAGCCAATTTTTGTTACTGTTATTGTTATTGAATAATAATGTATTTTTTTATAATGCTATTTTATGATTATATAATATCATAATGTAATATCAAGTTAAATTGAATTTTAGAAACTTGTATATAACGACAGTTGTGCTCAAACTAATTGTATACGACGATATAAAATGTTTAATTTTTCTTAAAACTTAAAAAAACTTAATACTTTACGTGTATCATATTTTTAAATATCTAAACATCATTGACTAGCAAGTGCTACATAGTTTAAACGACCATATATAGCTTTATGCAACAAACCACATTATGGGTGACAACAAAATTGGAATTACAAGATTCAAAATCGAATCAAGAAAATAAAATACAAAATAAAAAATAATCTTCGAAAATCATGAAAATACAAAAAAAAAAATTGAAATTATATAATATTCTAAATTATTTCATACATGGTTTGATTTTAGAAAATATAACAAAAGATATTTGTGGTTTCGAGTTGAAATTAGCTTGTAGTCTAAATTGTTTTATATAGAGTTTGATCCTATTAATTCTCTGCAAAAAAAAATGTTTGGCAAAAAGAATAATAAACTTACAAATATTATCACATGATTTACAAAATAAAAATACATATAAAGTATCAGTTGTTGAATATGATTAATTTTATTTCAGATAAATAAATGTTTCCATAAAAACAAGATAAAAATTGAAAAAAAGAAATGTAAGGAAGAAAAAAAATTAATCAACAAAAAAACCAATAAAAATAAAATTGGATAAAAATAATATCAAAATGTATTAATAGCTTAGTGGTAAGGAAGTGTTTGTGTATGTTTGAGATTTAGAGTTTGAGTCTTATAGTTGCCACTTTATAACTTTTTTATTAGTAATAATATCATTGAGCTTAAATTGATGCCCCTTAGGCTTTGATGCTCTGGGTCGTCGCCCGATTCCCACAATATCACTAGGTTCAAATTGATGCCCATTAGGCTTTGATGACCTGGGCCGTCGCCCAGCTCGCGCACCCTTTGGGCCGACCCTGTCTACATTACCAGATAAGATTGTCGATAAATACCATTATTTGCATCATATAAACGTTGATATGACAACTGTCGTACATTGCTCACACTTACCAAATAAGATTCTTGATCGGTAAAAAGATGTTGATGAACACCGTAATCTTTAACCGGATACAAAACAATAAATGTTTAGTTATCTAGGAAGAAACATATACCATATATAAACAATTAATTAATTTATGTATAAAGTATTTTTCTTTTTCCATATTAATAACTTTGTGATATTAACATTAATGACGTAAATATTTAAAAAAAAACATAAAATCAAACCTCGGATAAAACAAAAATAAAATTTATGTCATGCATATCATCAAAACTCAATCCACAACATCGATCTTAGTGGTGCAAGATAGCAACCTACGGAAGATGGAAGCCAACGCCGCATACGACGCCTCCTTCGCCTTTCTAACCACCGTGCACTTCTTCTTCCTCCTCTTCTTTCCACCGTCGTCTCTACGCCGTCCGCCACCTTCACTACTCGTCGGAGACTTTTTCTGTTTTCCGGCAGCTCTTTCTTTGACTTTTCCGATACACTTCATGGTTCTCTCGTTAAAGCTCTCTTTTCTGGAAAATGTGTAGCTTCGTAGGTATAGCTGCCTACAGGAGATACTATCGACCAACCTGGGGTGGCCCTGCCTTTCACCGTTCTCCGGGCGGCGGCTGTTTTTACTGACGGAACGGACGAATTCACGGTCGGAATCCGGCCATTTGTAGAGGTTAACATACGTAGCTCGAACTGGGACTCGGGCATCATCGGCAATGCATGTGGACATGCATGCAGAGGTCATAATGGTCTCCGGCGAGAAGGGTGGGCCGGAATTAATGGAGGATATTGGGTTTAGAGTGCTTAGAATGGAAGAAAGAAAGAGAGAAAGAAGGGTGGAGTATAAACTGTAAAGTGTGGTTTTAATTCGTTTTTAGGGTGGATGAGTGTGTGGGGATAAAGAGGCTATGATTTGGCATCATGGTGTACAACTAGGAGACTCACGTGAACTGCACGAGATATGATGGGTGCCTTCTATATATATATATATATACCCCAAATTAATCCCAACCCTTTCACTAATTTTAGGCTATGTTATAGAATTACATATATATTATTTATAATATATAATATACATATTATAGAGAGAGAGGGAGCATTGCATTAGTTTATAAACCATTTAATTCTAACAAATTATATAAATCAATTTTAACTATTTATTTAGTTTAATAAATATTTTATTTTATTTTATTTCATATATATATATATATATATATATATATATATAGGGGAGCGATCAAATGCAAACCACTCAATTTGTACAAACCGTGCAAACCGCATTTAACCAATCATAATTTTTCATTTTGTTCATTTTTTTGTAATTATGAGAGGTTGATTAATCATTTTTATTGTGGATGGTGTTAATTATAGATATTATGATCTTCATAATTTTAATTTTAGAGAAATACATGAAACAGTTTCATTAATGTTAGATAAATACATGAAACAGTTTCATTAAGTATTATATGAAACAATTTCACAACCATATATGAATCAACTTCATCAAAAAAAAGTATTATATGAAACAATTTCACAATATTAAACAATTTTTGAAAAAATTTCATAAGATTAAACAATAAAATCGACAGATGAAGGTGGTTTGCACGGTTTACACAAATGAGGGCGGTTTTCATATGATCACTTCTCTCTCTCTCTCTCTCTCTCTCTCTCTCTCTCTATATATATATATATATATATATTATAATTAATAATCATGATAATTGTCTATAAATATCTCTCTATATATATAGTTTCCTAATATAAGCATTAATTATTGTTTATAAGGTTTGTTATAATTTGATGATTTGTAAATGAAACATCCGATATATATTATCTTAAACTATATTATAAAGCATTTGACAAAAACTTTTAAAAACCATTTTTCATTCATAAAGTACTGTTTATTAATACATATTACTTATAATTCAAAATTGCAAGTAAGTTGTGCATAAGTACGATTATGATATTTTCATATCTATATTTATTCAAAAATAAAAACATTATCGCTTTCTTAAAACCATATAAAATCTATTATAACATCGAGTGAGACAAAGAAAGAAAGAAAACGAAACATTAAAATCGAAATACATCTCGTTGCATTGTACGAGTACCCTTCTAGTATTTATAAATACAGATACAAATATATATATATATATATAATAAATGAAAAACTAAAAAACACATTATCAACCGTTGGATTGGATGATCTAATGGATGTGATTGACTTGACGGTTACAACATTAATTTTTTTAATTAAAAAATCACTAGCCCCCTATTTTTTATTCCAAAAAAGAAGAAAAATAAATAAAATTTCTAGCAAAATAAATTACACCAAAAAGATGATCATATTTTTCTCGTTCATTTGACATCTATGCTAATATGGTTTTTCGTTCGTTATTCCGTGGTTTCCGGTTAATTTGACATCTATAAAACATTAAGATATTTATAGAATCAAATATTCATTAAAGATAAACAATTAAAATTGATTTCTATCTATGTTATATTATAAAGCATTTGACAAAAACTCTTAAAAATTATTTTTTATGCATGAAGTACTGTATATTGATGAATATTACTTAAACTTGAATATTACAAGTAAATTATGCATAAGTACAACTAATTAAAGCTTCATATTTGAATTCGTGTAACTAACTGTAGATAAAGATAATCAAATAAAGAATAAACATCTCATTTTAAAATATAAAAAATCTAAAATATAACCAGGATAATTATCGACTTTTAACAAAATAATTAACTATTATCTTTATAAGAAAATTATATTACTAAACCAAATATAAATTACTTCGTTATTGAACTTAAATTAAATTATAATTAAAAATTTTGAATTAAAAAATTACATAAAAAATGAGGAATTTTAAATGTTAATTTGATACTAATATCGATATAATTTTGTCAAAATTTTATGATATCTTTAAATTTATATTTTATTTATAAATAAAAACATCATCGTTTTTTCAAAATCACATAAGACTATATTATAACATCGATTGAGATAAATAAAAACTAAAAAAAATATATTAAAATCAAAATGTATATCGCTGCATTGCGCGAGTACCCTTCTAGTATTTTATATATGAAACTTGTCTATACATATATATTATATATCATAAATATATTAATATATTATATATTTATAAATATATTAATATATTATGTATTTATATATTTATATTTATAATATATATTATGTTGAAAGATAATTGTGTTATCGTCAAAAAAATATGATATGATCATAAAAAATAAAAGACGGAGGTTGAGATAGACATATTAGATTCATAGTAAAATTAGGTATTTCCTTATTTAAAAGGTTTATGATTAATGAAAATTAACAATTTCTCAATTCTCTCGATATTAATTGTTCTATAACACGTTATGAATGCAGTAAAAAAACATATTATAAAAATATAGTATATTTATAATGTATAATATTTGACTAATTTTATAAAAAGTTTGTTACATATTAAATAAAATAAATATTTTTATAAAAAAAATCATCTAAAAATTTGTTGAGATATTAAATACATTGACTACTTCAAGAAGATAATTAATATCAAAATACAGAAATTGTTTAAATTGAATGTGATTCTTTCTTCTTCTTTTTTGAGATTTTGGGTTTTCTTTTTCTATTTAGGAAAAATTATAGAGAAATCGTTGGACATGTTCTAATCAAGAACTATACAAACATGTACTTATTGTCGTATCAAGCATCAGACATGTAATTGGTCTGTGTCTAATCCAGTTTTATCTCATTCAATTTACTCCAGTTCACATATACCAAACACATCTTGAATGAATTTGATGATGGAATTTTTATTTTCTAAAATAAAACAAAACCCAACTTGGTTCCCTAAAAGGAGAAGTATTCAAAATTGGTTATCCAAAATAAAAAATAAAAAAAATATTTTTTTGATTTTATAAGTTGGTTCTCCAAAATATAAACCAAAGCAAAATAAATTCCAATTTGATTTTAAATATTTATATAAAAATAAAAACATGTGTTGACTATTTGACTTCAACAAACTTGAATAGCTGAGTGGGCCATTCTTATGACTTCTGTAATAAACTTGGGCCTGGGCCCAACATATGCGAACTACCAATCCACCGTTGATACAATTACAAGCAACGTTTTCGACTTAAATTTATGTTCACTTTCTCATTAAATGGGCTTATGAACAAAATGCCATTTAGTAACAAAAAAAATTCCTTTAAAAAATTTTAAATCATTCACTACAATAAAAAAATAACTTTTGTGAAATAATTATACCTGTATAAGACTGTTTGTTTGATTTTTCATTTAGACTTCTATGAATAAAATTGTTTGTGGTGAATCATTATACATGTACGGATAAGAAAGGTTTTTATTTGGTATATTTTTTTTATAGATGGAATGAGCGTGTTTTTATTTGGGATGGACATGTTTGTAAAAAATTTGGTTGTATACATAAAACTCATCCTATAAGCTTATTAAATAAGTTATTTTCTATATCATTAATCATTAGGTCACTACTAAATAATCATGTAAAGTTGACCAAATAAACTGTAAATCTCTTTTTCAAAGCACTAAAGTTAAAAACTTGTTACTATATGATTGTTTGTAAAGCTTTTAGTGATGCTTTTTAAAAGGAACAATTAAAGTTATTTTTAATAGCGTCTTTTAACAATTTCAAAAAAAAAAAGGTTATCATGATTTCAAATTTTAAAGGGTTGTTTATCCAAACGCTTACTCAATCTGGTTATTGGTAAAATTCGAGACTCTATCCTACTTTATCGGGTAAGGTTGTAATCCATCGAAATGGTATTGTATATAATAATTTACCCAGTAAACACTTACCGGGTAGGAGTCGTCACATTCACTTACCGGATAAGACTACATTCTTATCACCATTCTTACTAGATAAGATTATCGGTCTTTGTCATGTTCATCCGGTAAGATAAATAATCAATAAGTACCTATCGAGTAAGTATTTAATAAATAGCCCCTAATTAAAAGTGTTATTTAAATGCACATTAGTGAGGACTGAGGACTGAGGGGTGAAAAGCTTTACTAAAAGTCAAGTTAATGGGCTAATTTCTTTTATGAGTCAATAGAACTAAAATATGAAACTGGGCTAAAAATTGGGTTTTTTGGTTTTTTATTATATTTATAACAGTAAAATAATATGATTGTATATTATGTTTGCTACATAAAATAAATAAAAAAATTTAAAACATGTTACAACATTCAATTCACATTATATTCAGACGTGTAATTACACAAAATCATATAAAGTCCAATTACGTTGTATCGTAAGAAAATCTTTCTTTCTCTTTTCTTTTCTTATCTTTGATCCTTCTTTCTCGTTATCAGTTGATAAGCAAAAAACAACAAAGAATACTAAGACCTCGATGATGACGGAGAACTGGAAGAACAACGAGATACTTGAATAATCGTTTGAGTTTGTTATGTAAAATTGTTGTTGTTATGATAATTGTATATGGTTAAGAAAATGTTTTTTAGTTGATCTTCATGCTCTCGTTGTACTTCCACTTAGGGTGCGTTTGGTTTGCGGGATTGGAATGGAATTGGGGGGATTTGGATTTGAAATCCATTCCAATCCAATGTTTGGTTTGCTGGATTGTGAGAAATTGAAATCCAATGATTCCTTTGAAATCACATGAACGATGGATTTGGAAATCCTTTGAAAATACACGGGATTTTAAATTCCATTCCAGATTACACAGCGTATATCGTCTCCATCTCCATACCCATATCCAGAGCTAAACATCGCTTCATCTTCTCCCACAG